TTTTTTTTTTTTTTGGTAACACCAGGGAAGTTTTGTATGCACTCCTTCGAGGATGGAGAGCAGCCAGTATCCACCTGTTCTCTGCCCGGGACTTGACTTCCCTGAGGGGCACTTGGGGGGCCCAAGGAGGGCTGTCACCACCCAAGGGGAAATCCTCCCTTCCTCTTGGAAGGAGCTCAGAGGGAAAGCAAAGAGGCTGATTCAACAGTGCCTACAATTCCATCGCTAACCTCTGCTCTCCTCCAGCCAGTTGGCAGGAATATGGTAGTAACGGGACCAGCCAGGTCTTTCAGGATATGCCCTGCCCCCCTGTACACGGGGCACCATACATATTTCTGCCCAGAATTTCTGAGCCAACCTGAGGCCTCTTTTGTAGCTCGTTTTAATTTCAACATAATTGTTTTCTAATAGGAGCCTCCCCCCCAAGGATAGAAGGGAAACTGCCTTGGACAAGGGTATCATCATGTGGTTGGCAGTTCCTGGGACATCCATAGCTTTTCTCAGTTGTCCTGAGGTTACACTGTTAGATAAACATGGTCAGGTGCTGTCTGCCCCCGTCATGTCACACACCAGTGTGTACACACAGTCTCGTTTGCATATCCCACCCTTCCCTCTTCCCCTCCACCCGGGAGGCACACGGAGCTCCTGAAGAACCCACATTACCTCTGTGCAAAGCCCCCTCCCCTGGCTGGTGAGACCCGCAGGGGCTGGCCAGCTCTCCTGAGAGCTGCCCGGTCTGTGGCTGAGGCCTGGCCCTGCCAGCACCACCTTGGCTCACAGGGTTCTGGTGGGCTCCCCCCTCACTCATGCAGGGTGTCTGGGAGCGACGGACTGCTCACCTGGAAGACGATGCAGGTGCATTTGTGTTACATTTTCTCCTCTGCTCAGGGCCACTAGGCAGGATGTGACATTTGAACAGCCGGAAGAGTACATAAACCACAAAACTAAGGGGACAGTAATGACCTCAAGCTATGCCTGAGAATCCCCAATGTGGTCCAGAAACATCATCCTGCTGCCTCGTGGGCCTGAGAGTTTAATCGGTGTGGCGTGTTCTTTGTTTTTACCAGGTGCCTCATGTTTATGGGTCCTGTCTCAGTTCAGTGCAAACATTTTAGTAATTTTATTCTGAGCCAGTTTTTACTTATTCTTTGGTCCAAAGAGCATTTTGTTTTCATGTGGACGGGGTGTGGCTTGGTTTGGTTTTTGTTTTATTTCGTTCATGACCTCAGCAGAGATGGGGAAAGAGAAACTAATATATTTTATAATATTATTATAGTCCCTGTTCTCTGCATTTGGGATATTTATGTTGTGTTTGTGGGAATAGGAATTCGGTGAGCACATGGTGAGTAGTATGTATTTATAGATCAAATGGAGGGGTTTCAGGGGTGGGGAGAAAAGTGAATGTAACAAGATTAGGAGCAGGAGACACACGGAGAGTTGCGTGTGGTCAGTTCCCTTGGGATCTCTGCACCTTCCGAGTTTTCTACCTGGAGTCAGGAAAGTCGAGTGTTTCAAAGCCATCTGCAGCCGATCCCTTGGTGTGGTCCAGTAAGCACTGGGAAGAGAGGCTGAGGTGCCTGAGCATCCTCGCTGGGGAGGGGCTGCGTCTTCTCCAGGGGAGCCAGGTGGGCAGTCAGGAACCATGCCTGCAGGTTCTCCATTTACCAAACTGTAGAGTGTCTGATAATATAATTAAATGCTGAAGAGTCACAAGTTCAGCTTCCCTCTGTCAGAAGGAGAGAGTGTCTAAAACACGAATGCAGCGTTACAGGTGGTGTTCCGGGCAGCGGGAGCCTTGGGAAATCATCGGAGGGCTCGGGCCTGCCTGCCCCCAGGGGGACCTCTCAGGCCGCCTGCCCGACCGACCACCTGTTCAGAGGCCGCCAGAGCTGGCCAGGGCCTAGAACTTAGCTGGCACATCCCTGTGCAGCCTCCCAGTAATTACAATGACATGTCTTCACCCAAAGGAGAGGAAAGAATATTCTCTCTCTGCTACTGCACAGAAATCTTAGAAAGTTTGATAGGGGCTGGGAAAGCCAGTTTGATAAGCTCTCCTAGAGGAATAAGATATTTAAGCCTAAGAGTAAGGTTGGTTATCCACCACCTCCCTTCCTGTTGCTGTGAGCGGCTCCGCACACCCAGCCAGCACATTTGTGGCGCTCGGTACAAGGTCACCCTGCCAAAACGTATTCTTTTCCCTCTGCTCCCGCAGGATGGAGGAAGTTCATCTACCTTTGGTTAACCGAGAGGCAGGGATCTTAAATGGTAGCACCTCTGATTTTGAAAGTCCCTTGGGAAGTGGCAGTCGATGCCCCTTGATATCCCAATATGTACAGTTATTTATGTAAATATCTGGATACCCCGCATACTGGGGATGACAATGTACAGAGCATCCCAAACATGGCCCGGGCAAAAAGCCACTCTTGCTGCTCGGTGAGGACATGCGGGTGATTCTGCTTTGGGGACAGATTCCCAGATTCATCCACCCCTCCTGGTCCAGCCAGGATGCACCAGAACCCACCCCACTCTGCCTTCTCAGATGAGAACATTTCAGGGAGCCACCATCAGCCTCGGGTTCCCAAGTGGAGGAAAGCCCCCCGAGACCGGTGCCTGGAGCCCCCTCCCCTCAGCAGAGCGGGCTCCATGGGGCCTGGGGTCCCTCGTGGGGCTGGACTCCGAGGCCTTGCAGACAGCTCAGCCTTGTAAACATTGCCCACCAACACCGGCCTCAGAGGGTCCCAGAGTAACCTACTACCTCCCCCATTGCCCCTGTCACCCCACGCCACCCGCACGCTGAGGAAACCATCCACGAGCCATTCTTGGGTCCCTCAACCCAGGGGTATGGCTGTCACCAATGTTTACAACCAAGGGCCACCCCCCGTAGATGTGTTTGCCCTCCCACTTACAAGGCCACTTGTTTTGAGTTTGTCTGCTGCTCCCCCGGCTTGGCTGACTCCACACGTACGCACACAGCCCCTGAATCTGTCCCCCGCGCCAGGCAGCGCGGAAGGACTGTGGGAAGGAAGTTTCTGGGACACGCCCAGCACAGCCCCTGCAGTGTGAGCCTGTACTCTTGTTCTGTAAAGAGGAAGAAAAGGAGCTTATTGTAAAGCGCTGAGAGAAGTATAGTATTGTATTTGTAACAATATCGTTCTTTGTATACACAAAACTCAATGATCTCTATATATAAATATAAATAAATATATAAATAAAGTATATATACACATGAGCCTGGAATGTGGACGCCGCACACCCGCTGAATGTACTTCCTTGCAGTCTGGTCATCGGGCCGGCCCGCCCTCCCCTCCTCCGTAGCGTTTTGGGGGTTGTGATGTATTTCATGTGTTATCTTCCTTAATTTAACGGAACGCTAATGTCTGTAAGAGTTGCTGCAACAATAAACAAGAACTTCACCTCTTGGCCCTGGCTGAGTGTCTCATTGTTTTGGGGGTGAGACAGGATGGGACCCAGGTAGAGGGCAGGTTTTGTCTTTTTCCTGTCAGGCCTCCTCCAGCCCATCCTGTAGAGCCTGCCTGATGCCCGAGACCAGGCGTCTTCTAAGTGGGCTCATTCTGTGAAACTGACTCAGTTTTAAACACGACGGCCTGTACCCCGTTAGAGCTGCTCCTGCAGTCCCCACGCCTCCTCAGAGCGCACCGCACGGCAGAGAGGAGCCTCTGGATTTCCCAGCGAGAGGAGGGAAGCAGGAGTTAGCTGCCTCCCCCAAGAAATCTCCAGCGAGGGAGGTGGCCTTAGTTAAGGGGACAGCTGAAGGAAAACTGTACCTGAAGGCTCCTGAGGAGTTCTGGCTGGTTCTGATGCTCCTCGCGGGTCCTGCCGTCATCACCCATCTGCTGCCAGAGGCCTGCCAGAGACAGTGGACCCCAACATAGAGTATCCAGCCTTGTCCTGAAAGCAAAATGTCCTTAATGCTTTTCCTCTACAAACACCCTTGCCTGTCTTCCCTGGAAGCCCAGTCAGCCCCTGAGGGCCCGGCAGCTCGGGCTGCTGTGAAAACTTCCCTGGGGCTGGGAGACCTGAGAAAGAGTCTGGCAACTCCAGCCTGACGCCAAGGTTTTGTTAAGGAAACTTACAGGCAGAAGCAGAGTTTGGGGCAGCAGCAAGACAGTGGGTTTCTACACAGAAGGGGGACAGAGGCCTGACCTGCGCAGCCACGTGGCACAGGCTAACGCGGGGGCCTGCAGCCATGTGGAGCGGGCTGCTGAAGGGCTGTGCAGTCCAAGG